GAGTCATTCTTTTCCTCGATTCGGGATTAAAATTGGTGACTTGGGACACCCTAAATTTCCCAAGTGGCGACTCTGAAATAATTAAACCAATCCCGTTTCGATTGTCCTTTAATTGGAAAAACTCTCTTGCGCCCTCGCGGGTGCGAAAAAGGGAGGTGTGACACCCGCTATTAAAGTGATTACCCAACTCTAAATGTAAGATTTCTAAAATTTACCTCTGGGCCCACGTGCCCGGATTCCGAAAATGTTCGAACAAAGTTGATACCCATAACCCCACAAACTCTAATATATAATTTTTACTAAACTCCTTAACCAATTTTGTGGCCAAATCTCATTTTTATCAAAAACTTAGGTTTTCATCTAAACCCTTGATTTTCACCAATTTTTACTTGTCAATCTATCCATAATCTATGTATTTAACTCATGTTGTGTAGAAATTGCTTACCTCAAATTGCTAGGTGAAAATCCCCTTCCAAGAGATCCAAAAATTGAATTGAAAGAAAATGAGCTAAATAGTCTAAGTCTCGTAATTAATAAGTTGTGCACATGCCTCAGGTGCGACACCTGGTTCGCAAATACGACAAAACCATCGCAAATGCAAACCTGGGCTTAGGCTGCCAAAGTCGCAAATGCGACCAAGGAGTCGCAAATATAGACACTGCTGAGATTTAAAATGTGGCTGATGTGTCGCAACTGCGAACACTGCCTAGGTCGGGCTCCTTCACAATTGCGAAGCCCTTCTCGCAAATACGTGGTTCGCATTTGCGAACAAATTCTCGCATTTGCGAGACCTGCAACTGATGCCAAGAAAGACTAGAAAACTGATGTGTTTTTCATCCTTCCGAACATCTGAAGCTCACCCGAACCCTCGGCGCTCCACACCAAATACCCACACAAGTCTAACAACACCATACAAATTTGCTCGCATGATCAAAGCACTGAATTAACATCAAAAAACCACGAATCGGATGCTAAAACGCATGGATTAACTCATGCACTCAAAAACTTCTAAAAACACTTATGCGTGTCCGATCCTTATCAAATCAACTCGGAAAGATGCCAAATTTTGCGTGCGAGTCTTAAATGATATTACTCACTTACTCCAACTTCCAAAACTGGAATTCAAACCCGATATCAAAATGTCCACCCTCGGTCAAATTTTCCAAAAACTTTAAATTTTTAACTTTCGCCAATTGACCCCGAAACGACTTACGGACCTCCGAATCTACTTCCGGACATGCTCTCAAGTTCAAAATCACCATACGGAGCTATTCCCATGCTTGGATCCCAAACGGACGTCTAGAATGTATAAATCTACTTCAACCTAAACTTATGAAATTCACTCAAATGCCAACTTTCACTATTAGGCGTTGAAATGCTCACGGGTTATCCAAAACCCGATCCAAACATACGCCCAAGTCCAAAATTATCATACAAACCTATTGCAACCGTCAAATCTCGATTACGGGGTCGTTTACTCAAAGATTTGACCTAAGCCAAACTTAGCCTTTTAAGCCAACCTTAAGGAACCAAGTGTTCTGATTTCAACCCGAACCCTTCCAAATACTAAACTAACCATCCCCACAAGTCACAAAACACTAAAAGAAAGTACGAAAAGTCTTATTTAGGAGAACAGAGTTCTATAAAGCAAAACAACCAGCCAGGTCGTTACAAATTAAATCAACAAAAATTTAGTAGCTCGGTTGGTAGCCCAAGGGGTTGAAAATCTTGGGTTGCGGGATTGGTCTGTAAAGAAACAAGTATGGGATTTTGAATAGAACATTAAGCTATTGGGGTTTAGATAATTCTCTAGCATTTATTTCTATTTTATCTATTTGGGGTTCGCTAGTAGCATGTTAGGCCAACCATACTCGGGTAGGCAAACTTTAGTTTTTTTTTTCTTTTACTTGAGGTGAGAGGTCGTTCCCTTTTAGTTTATATTCAAGATAATGCCCCGTAAACTCTGTAAATATTTTTATCAGGGAAATGTCCCGAAGTGATTGTAAACGAAGGCCGAGGCGACATCACCATGGAGGCATAGTTTAGGATAGCTAGATTTAGTTTGTTAATTTATTTTCTTTTATTTACTAGGTGGGGACGACCTCGAACCTTTTTGTATTTAGCCTTTCTCGTGTGCTTTAGCCTCAATTAGAATATTTTTAATAGACAACTAGATCGAGTATGCAACTGTACTAGTTACGGGACTTGAGGAATGCCTAACACCTTATCCCCGAGTCAAATGAACCTCCTTAACTAAAATCTCTAGTGCAGATTATGTTTTAGAGTACAATATGTTTTGAAGGAATTCTTTTTAAAAATATGGCGACCTGGCACACCAAAACCAAATGTCAGGTGACGACTCTGAAAAATCCTTCGAAAAACAATCTTTTGTCACTTTTCAAATTGAAACCCTTTTAAGTTTTAAAATCACTTTTATCTATTTAAAAGGGGTTAGTGAGGTTAAAAACGGGGTGTGAAACTATTCCAATTCCCGAAATCACAATCCGAATCCGGAATCTCCAAAGTCAACTCTCGGTCAAACTTATGAACTTTTGCAAACCTTCAAATTCCAATTTTCGCCAATTTGTGCCGAAACCTTCTAGAAATATCCAAATGAAAATTCGGGCATACATCCTAGTCCAAAATCACTATCTGGACCTAACAGAACCATCAAAACTCAAGTCTGAGGTCAAATACTAAAAGGTCAAACTTGGTCAACTCTTCCAACTTAAAGCTTAACTCATGAAATTCATTCTTTCAAATCGATCCTGAATAACCTGAAAACCAAAACCGATGATTCACATAAGTCATAATACATCACACGGAACTACTCACGCCCTCAAACTACCGAGCAAAGTGCAAATGTTCAAAGCGACCGGCCAGGTCATCACAATTTTAGTGAACCTAGAAAATATGTCCTCCACTGATTATCCATCCTTCATTTGAAACAATTCATAGTCTCGAACTAGGAGATTTATCCTTATTTCTTTCACTTTGTTTGTTCCTTCATATGTGACTTCTAACTTATCCTACATTTTCTTTGTATTCTTCTCTGCTGATAGCATTGTACAATAATTTTTTTGCCTTGGCATTCACTTGAATAATGGCTGATTGTTCTTCAGTATAATAATCCAAATCAAGGGGGTCAGATGATACTATGATTTGACCGTTTGCATCCTTTTTGGCGGAATTAAAAGATTTTCCTTTTTTATCGCATGTCATACCTTAATATCATATGACATAGTATAGGTCTTCATGCACACTTTTCAGTGAGAGAAGTGCTAGCCATTGAAGTACGGGGGTCATACTTGAGATGTTCCTTCTTGAAATAGTGCTCCAACGACTGTATTTGATGCCATGATCATTTCCCAACTTGCTATTAAGCAATATTCGTGAGTAATGCTCTGATACCAATTGAAAGTACAAGAGAGGGGTGATTTGTAACCTATTTAAAAAATTTAGTTGACTAAGTATGAATTTAGTCGACTAAACATTACGCGGTAATTGATTATAGCAGAGATAAACTAAGGAAACAGAAAGGTAAAGAAGACACATCAATTTTATACTGGTTCAGTACCAGTGTGGTACGTACTCCAGTTCTCTTGGGTCATAAGGGTTCTCTTAGATCTTTAATGAATGTTTACAACAATGATGGTTTCAGTACGTTCACAACCAATGATATACAGCAAGAGTAATTCTTTCCAATACTGACACAACTATCGTTTTGTATTCTAACTCTTCCAATATTTTGTGACACTTTTAGACTCAGGAATACAGTATTTTTACTAAGAACTAGAAAGGCTTAAAAACAGATGATGTAGTTGTGTGCCTTCGGATGTTCTTCTGCTTCTTCCTTTATAGCTGGATGATTCTTCTGTTTCCTTGTCTTCTGGGATTGTATCGCAACAATTTTAGGAGACCTTTCCTTGTGAGGAATACAAATCAAAGAGAAAGACCCAAGGGTAGCCTCATGAATCTAGCTTTAAATGATAGCTAGATTCATTCTTAATCTTGACGAATTGCTTCATCCATTTCTCCTTGATTTGAGCTTTTGCAGATTCTTCTGGATTTGATCTCTAGCCGTGATTAGCTCTCTTCCCATTCTTGCGCGCTTGAGAATCTTTGACAAGGCTGACTGATTGAATTTCCTTCTTTGTTCTTTGATTGATTCATTCATTTTTCATGTAAAGCCACTACAAGAAAGAAGGCATATCGCAACAACAAATTTTGTTGCCATATATTCAATGTTGTTGCCAAAAATATCTTTGGCAACGACAAAGAAGTCGTTGCACTCCATTGCAGTAAACACCGATGGGAAAAGTATATGCAACAACAGAAAATATTGTTGCCAAAAGGTAACTTAGCGCAACAATATATATCGTTGTCATAAGTTATTTGTCGTTGGTAAAAGGTCAATGAAGTCGTGGATTATAAAGACATGTACCAACAAAAATTATTGTTGCGACAAAATTAATTTTTTGCCAACAATATCCGTTGTTGCTAAAGAAATTGGCGGTAAAGTTAATAATCTGTTATCAAGACTTTTAACAACTATTATTGTGGTAATAATTACTTTGTTTTTCAACATATTCTCTAGTACTACTTTGGCAACAATTTATGTGGTGTTACTAAATACACAATTCATATATTCTTTAAATTTTCACAAATACATGTAGAGATAATAAATTGTAGTTTAATTTATATATATATATATATATATATATATATATTTATAAATAAAGCGTCTATACATAAAATTGATGCAGTGGATATACTAACTTTCAAAAGCTAAATAATCCTAAAAAGTATATCTTTACTTACAAAACAAACAAAAGTATCATATATCCAAGGTCCTTAAGTTCTATTCTAATAGTAACCCAAAAAATAAATCTTCTTCCACCAGCTTGTGCACTACATGAACCAGATGTCAGGAATGCTACTCATCCTAAAAAAATATAATTAGATTTTGATAAAAAGAAGCAATAAAGTACAAACGTGCAAAACGAAATAGTGGAAGCTTATTTTACTGCAACAACTTACAACAACAATAACAATATACCCAGTATAATCCCAATTTACGCAGATCTTACCCCTATCTTGTGAAGATAAAGAGGTTGTTTCCAATAGACTCTCGGCTCAGTACAACATAAGTACCACATCAATGAAAAAAAAGACAAGAAGAGACAACACCGGGAAACCATGTAAAAGCAACACAAAAAATATCAAGATACTAAGATGACCAAAATGACTCCGTAACAAGAACCATCAACCTGAAAAGAGCTTAGTGGAAACACAACATTAACTTAAAAAGCACTCTCAGAAACATGGTTGGGAATATTAGATTAATAATGCACGACCAAGAGAAAGAAACAATCACCCACAATCTGGATTATGTGCAAAGGTAAAGTGCATCATGACTAAAAGCACTCTTGATTTAATGCTTATTTCAAACTATTTGGTATTTGGTATGGTTATCTTTTTTTCTTTTTTCATTTGCCACAGCTAGGCAGGAAGTTATATAATCCTGTTCACAAACAACTTTTGTATATTTCAAGTCATCCTCCCATAGGTATTCAGACCAAAAGTCTTCTTGAAACCAAATACTTAAGAAAAATCAATAATATATTTTAATGAGAAATAATTGCAACAACTTAAGAAAAATAGGCATGTAAGCAGTGTAAGCTTGATTAAAATACTCCCCAAAATAAAATTGCATCAGAACATGCTAAATACTCCCAAAGATACAATACTATAGTCTGAAAAAAATTTAGACAAAGATTGATTTATTCAAATAGATTCATTTGCATATACATCCAAGAAACTTCCTTTCACAAGAACTAGAATAAGTTTACTTACCATGCTATCATCCATAAGACTTGTAGGACTTGTCTCATCCGAATCATTTAAATTAGCAATCATGTCAAAAATTGCAGTAGGAAGTCCAGTCTGTTAAACATTGTACAACTAAACTTAAATATGATAAAACTTCGAAGATGCAAATTTATAACATCAAAATTATTAGAACACGTTTCCTTTCAGTAGAACACAAAATATAGTTTCTATAGATCCAAATAAATAGACAACATGTACATAAAGCATTTTATACCTTGAATATCTAATATCTCATGTAGAAATGACAAACAGATTAGTGTATGAGAACATCCATTCTTCGAAGCTATTACCATAGGATATAAGACAGAACATCATGTGTTGGACTTAGAAATATCTTTATCATAGTATTTAAAGTAAGCTGAAGTTTGTGAAAGTTCACATACTATAGCTGATATTCAGCTACAGAGCTAAAGTAAATCGGCAGCAATTTGCTTCGTATACTGATAAGCTAAGATAGTTTCTCAATCATTTAAAAAAGCTATGGGTAAAATGTCTCTTTCCTACATTCATTGTATCTGTGTACCATCTTACCAACAAGCACCAGTAGACATTTATAATAACAAAGCCCTGCCATAGATATTGAATTCAACTGCTACCTGGTTCCTCTTTTATTCTTAAGTAGTTTAATAAAATTATTTTTAGGATCAAAAGCAAGTAATTGAAACTTTAACGCCTTAAACAAATTAAATACCTCGGAACTTTGTATATGGGATACTAGTGCCATCATGCCCTGTTTTAATATTTTTTGATCACCCACCAGACGAGCTTCCATGATTTCTCGTTTTTTCCGCTCCTCCACAAGTTGATTTTCCACTTCTATTAGTTTACACTCTACATTCTCTCGTTTATGGCGTTCTTCTTCCACTAAGGAATGGTGTGCTTACTACTACTAATAGTCCATTTAATTTTGATATACTCCTAATTACCTTAAAAGCATCAGAACTGAAATAGTCCACTAAGAAATTCCATTCAGCTTCATTAACTTCTGCCGGCATGTTCTGCAAGCTTTCCTCCTTCGAAGCAAATTTCTTGAAATGATCGTGGAGTCTACTACGACGATATCAGTATAAATTATTAGCTGTTTGAAGGATAGTATCTCGATTGTGTTGTGTGTCTGGAAGTTGAAAGGTGTCCTGCACTCAAAAATACTTAAGTGAGCTTACTTAGAATATAACTTTCATTGTCTGCCAATGTGTTGAGGACCTTTCAGGTTAGCATGCCTAAAATTGGCTTACCACTAATAAGTTATAAACATACTTTATTTGTACACTTACATCATTGTTCTGGTGAATTATTCAAGTTCAAAAGTAATCTGGAATTTAGAATTTGATTATATATTATCTTAGCTACCTCAACATATAAGTAGGAGTTGAACCATCTACTTCAGTAGAAGCTGGTTCTTTGTTGTATGCTTTTCATAAGCTAAATTAATCAAATGAGACGTTAAAAAAAGTAAGTTTATAAATAAGAATTTGATAAGCTTATCAAGAAAGTGACCAATTTTCTAGAATTTATCAAGTGATCGGGAAGAAACAAAGTGAATTACCAGCATATGAGCAACAATTCTATCTTTTGCTAGATTAGGAACTTCCTTCCATTTCTTGACATCATGCCTAGAATGCTGGAGAACTTTGACGGAGAGCTCGGTAACAAAATCTTTAGCTCCAAGGCCTACTGCTACTGTTCTATCATGTGGAATAATCACCTTCAACTTTCTATTGTCACTATCTTTCCGTTTCTTTTGAACTAAAAGCCCTGTTGTCTTCCCCCTTCCCTTTCTCTTTTTTCCTTCGGCAACATAGGAAGATATTTAGGTATACAGCAAATTAAATCTATACAATCAAGAGATTTTAAAGGGCTAGAATTTTAACAAATGAAATAACTTACCTGGCTGTGAATTTGAAACTACATCGGTAGCAGATTCAGTATTACTAGAAACATGCACATTTATTGTCATGATAGGCTATAACATGTTAAAAATTATATTATTGGACATTAGCCAAATGAAAAAGTGAAGGCAGCAAAATGATAAGAAAAAAATAAGATATGTTCAGAAAAATGAGAAACAAATAAATTTACAAAGAAAAAATCACAAAAAATAAAATATAAAAGGAGTAGTAGAAAGTTAAAATTAACCATTTCGGCAGGGTGATGGATAGAAGTCGTGTGAAGAAAGCGATTGAAATAAGCAAAGTAGTCTTGTGGTATTAATGGCTGCACTTGGTTTCACAATAAACTGGGGACTCCCATTTTTTCCGGATGAAACAAAGAACAGATAAAGGCACCAATCTTTATCAGATTCAGAAAAAAAGTAGACAATAGCCCATATTGTAAATCATCAATCCCAAATATTCTCACTCTCACACCATTAATTCCCCAAAAAAAGAACGTCAAATAGCATGACCATGAAAAAAATTAAGAAAATTATATAGAAAACACTCACTATAACAACCAAGAAAAGATCAACGACATCTCATACTACAAAACAATTCAAGAAAATCCCAGTAAACAATCATTGACTAGTGATTAAGGTATCACAAATTAAGAAGAATGATACGATTAAACTAAATCAAAAGCAGAAAGCAATAGAAATTGAGAAGAAACGAAATCAAAAGCGAGAACTCACCAGATTTTGGGTTGAACACATCGGAAGAGATCAAAAAATCGAACACACAGATGCAAGAATTTAGTTTAGATAATGAAAAGAGAAAACCTAGATGCAGTGGAAACTAAAATTGAGCGCTAAAAATTTGGGAAAAAATAATAAAATAGGGAAATCTGTTTTGGCGCGTTTGTTTTGGCGGAAAACTAAAAGTGATTTACTAAATTTTTGGCCACAACTCAATGGAGTTGTTGAGAAAATTTTGTGTAATAGCAACACTAATATTTGTTATTGCCAATTATTTTTATATTTTATATTTATTATATTACTCCTAAAACAAAGTAACGAGAATCTAAAATATTTGGTAACAAGAAAAACCTTGTGGTTAAAAATTTTGTGATACAACAACAATCTAATTATGTTGTTGCCATTTATTAAACTTAGCCAACAACCATATTATTGTTGTTAAAAAGTCGTTGCTAACTTATATATATTTAAAATTTATTATATTGTTTGTTAAATATGGCAACGATATTAAAACTTTTGCTAACAAAAAAATTTTTGTGGGTAAAAATTCTATGATATAGCAACAACTAAATAAAGTTGTTGTCATTTATTGTATTTTGCAACAATATTATTGTTGTTGCAAAAAAATTGTTGCTAATTCTATACTTTCTTGTAGTGAGCAAAGTTCAAAATACACAGCCGTTGAATTGGATCTTCTTTTCTTTTATCAACATCGTTGCTTACCAAATGTGCACACAAAGAGATGTTATTAGTCAAGGTTTCTTTTAGATTATTGATCATTATGAAAACTCTAAAGTTAACAATACAATTCAATATAACATTTAAGCAAATGCTGCCAAAATCCAAAATGATCGAGTCGGTAATTCCTCCTCCGCAGACAGTATAATTTGTGAAGACGGGCAGATTTACGTTAAGGAAAGCAATATCACGTGACACCATTTTTATAGAAAATTTTTACTAAAATATACATATAAAAAATATGCAAAACACAGAGTATTAGTTATTTTTAAAATGACATTACATCCCGCAAGCGCTTATTGGCCCATTTGCTGCATTTATCTAATGATCGTCAATTTGTGCATATATATGTATTTTAAGTTTTTTAGCATTATTTTTTATTAAAAGATTAGACATCATCAAAAATTGAACTATAGACTTTTTCTAGGGTTATAATTGACTAAAATGATTGTACAAAGATATTTTTACCTACGTAATCAATGATAATGAACACTTTGAGACTTTTAGAAATACATCATTTCAACATATAAGTGAATTTAAAATTATAATTTTGATAAAAATAAAACTTCTATGTAATTTGAATTTCTTTGAGCATGCAATATGCTATTGTTGCTTTGCTCTTCTCAACTCTTCATCTCTCTCGTCATCACCGCAACTCTGGTGGGTCAGCGACCCTTATAAGTTGTGTTGCAATTTTTATCATTTTTATTTCTCAGTGAAACTTTTTGAGNATATATAAAGGAGGGGCTTAAAAGAATGATGTGGCAATTTCTATGAGGAGCATTTCTATTTATCTCTTTTCTCCTTTTTCTTGTATTTCTCCTTTTTTTTACGCCGGTTCGGTGTGGTAATAAAGACTCCAAAAGCCGCACGTCAAAATCCCGTAACTGCCAGAATAAAGGGCCATCACTTCCTTCCACTATTATTTTATGTTAGTTAATGCAGATTTTTTCTCCGCCCTCTCTCGAAACCGATGACACGACTTTTTTTCCACTGATAGAGAATGGAGAATGACTTTTCTTTCCATTCAAAATCAGAGTAAGAGTCCAGATTTTCAACCGGTAGTAATTTATATAATATAATATTGTCAAGTGATTTGTCCGTCTTTTTATTTCTTTAAATATTGACATCATTCGCAAAAATTTCAGCATATACCACTGTGGAGATCGCTCCGATTTTATATAATGTGATGAAAATGAACATACGAGATAAACTATGTACTTTATGCTTTCGTTGTGTGTTTTCATAGGTATACTAAGCGATCGAGTGCAACAAATTAAATGACTACATCTATACTGAATCTCGACACAAAAGGAGATGGTACAAAATCATTAATCACCAGCAAACACGAATGACTTATTGACTTTCTGGATGAACCGGTCAAGAATAATTTGGAAGTAAAATTTTATAAAAGTAACAAAAAAAAACGAAAAAAGATATTGATAGATACTTTGCCGAAAAGATTGACTTTTTTATTGCTTACACTTGTATTTTACCAGCCACACAAAAACAGAAGGATCGTAGAGTAGATCACAACTTACTAACTAGTTTATTCATTCTGATGAGAGTTGAAAATAAACATATGTAGCTCAACACTCGAGTTTATCACTTTTAGCTGCTTCTAGCTATAACTTCACCTTCTTGGCTTATTTGGTGTTCACCTTGGGACATAATTACAATTTTAATTGAATGAACTTTCTTGTTTTTGTCATCGTCGCCATTCTTGGCCGTCTTTTCAAGAAGGCCATCCTCCATAACTCTTGATCTTTCTTCTTCATTTTTCTTCATTTTTCCCTTCATCCGTTGTTGTTGCACATAGAGATGAGCATAGTTTTCTCCCCTGGAACACATTGTTGATGAGGTTTATGCTAAAGGAAATGGCTAAGAGTTTCTTGTTGTAGCTTGAATCTAAAAAGCAATGAAGATTTATAGAGTAGATCTTTTGCATTTTATTTTATTTTATTTTTAATTTTAAGTGTGACACTAAATCAATGCAATTTGAATGACATGATATCTGTAGATTTGCTGTCAATAGCTGGTTCAATTACTTTTTTCTCTTTTCCAAGTAGTGAGTGCATGCATATATTTTAAATTTGTTGTTTAGAAGTGTGATGACCTGATAGGTCTATCTTATGATTTAAAATCAAATTCTGTGTTTTGAGGCCATTAAAAACCTTATCTTATCTCTTTTTGAGTTGCGTGTACAGTCCTGGCGTGATTTCGAAAAGCTTTTGTGTTGAAAGTTGATAAAAATAAGGATTTTTGCTTAAAAACTTCATTTGAGTTGGCTTCGTTCAACATTTTTGATAAACAGACCCAGATTCATGTTTTGACAGTTCTGGTGGGTCCGTATCGGAATATGGGACCTGGGCGCATGCTCGAAATCGAATTCGGAGGTCCCTAGCCCGAGTTATGAATTTTTATTAAAATTAAAATCTTAAAAATTATTGGTTATTAAGTATTGATGTTTGATCTTGTTGGTAACGCGTCCGCATTTTAGTTCCGGAGCCTAGTACAGGTTCAATATAAATTTAAGGCATGTCTGTGAAATTTGGTAAGAAACGGAGTTGGTTTGACATGATTCGGACGACCGGTTGTGAAAATAGAAATTTTAAAGTGTTCTTGAGAATTTTCATTTGATTTGGTGCTAAATTCGTAGTTCTAGGTGTTATTTAGGCGATTTGATCGCATGAGCAAGTTCGTGTAATGTTTTAAGACTTGTGTGCATGTTTGGTTTGGAGCCCCGAGGGCTCGGATGAGTTTCGGATAGGTTACAGAGTGAAAATGGGACTTAGAACACTGCTGGTGCATCAGATTTTTGTTGCAGGCCTCAAACCTCGCAAATGCGAGGTTAAGCATCGCATTTGCGACCACTGATGGGTTCGCATTTACAATCCACTCATTGCATTTGCGAAGAGTAGCTGGGAAGGCCAGCATTCGCAATTGCGAATAATGTTTCGCATTTGAGATGGGACAGGGGGAAGGCAGCCTTCGCATTTGCGAGCATTTCTTCGCTTTTGCGAAGGAAGCAGAAGTGTGAGAGACCTCGCAAATATGATGGTTTTCTCGCATTTGCGAAGATCAGGTCGCAAATGCGACATCTGCAGCTGTGTAAAACCTAACTTAGACGGGATTTTTGCTCATTTCTCAAAATTTTCAAAACAAGAAACCCTCTAGGCAAATTTCCAAAGACCATTTCTTCCCCAAATCATAGGTAAGTGATTCTTAACTAGTTTCTTTCAATCTTTCACTTTATTTTATAAGATTTCAACCTAGAATCTAAGGTTTTCATGGTGAAATTGGGAATTTTTGGGTAGAAACTAGGGATTCCAAAATTTGGGGATTTAGACCTCAAATTGAGGTCAGATTCCAAAACCAATTGTATATCCGGACTCGTAGGTGAATGGGTTATCGGCCCAATCAAAGACAAGTTCTACCAAGGCCAGGATCTGAAAGAGAGGATTCACTTTCCGAAATTCCAAGTGACATGATTCCTCCTTCAGAAGCTAAAGTTGAATGATCGAAGTCCTTGCGACGAGACGCGGACATTCCCCATGCTGCGGTTCCCTCCGGTCCGTTCCCGGGTTGGGTTAGGGGAACATCCGAGCGATTGCCTTCGCGGATCCAAACGAGTTTGAGTCCAAATTTCGGGTTTGGACCAAGCGGGCCCGGGTGTTGACTTTTTCAATAATGGCCTAAATTGAATTTTTATCGATCGTGGGAGATTCCTATGGTTTATTTTGAAACATTCAGTTGGTAATTTGATAGATATTGTTGGTTCGGAGGTGTGTTTGAAAGGCAAAGTTGTGATTGAGCTTTGAGTGGTCTTTGGAGCGAAGGTAAGGGTTGTGTCTAATCTTGACCTAAGGGAATTAGGAACCCTCAGACTTTGTGTTATGTGAATTCCATGTGAGCAGTGTATATGCAAGGTGACAAGTGCTTATACGGTGCCGACTTATATGTTTTTCTTGATTTATCGTTTTTCCTTAATTGTTTTTCCTCCTATCTTAATTGTTACATGCTCTAAATATTTTCCATGATTAATTACTACGTGTTAATCAATGTTTTCTTTTGTTAATCATGTTAGCTCTTTTCAGAGTTTCCCATTATCCCTAGTATTTGCTTAATTTGACTTGTTTGTACCATTTAACTATAAATTGCTGATTTGGTCTCGCTATGTAGTATTATTTGTGTAGATTTAACATTGAACAAGATTCCTTTTCTTGGTTCAGTTTGGTATTTATTTATCAAAAAGGCGTTGTGATTTGGCCTGTTGATTTGACTGTGTACATTGACTTTTTGGTACTAATATGGTAGGATCGGACTGCACGTCGCCGCATGTGTAATAAGGGAGGATTTATATGGTGGAATAAGGTTGAATATCTATATACGGTGGGACCGGGTTGCACGCCGCAACAGGTGGAATAATGGTGGATTGATATGATTAAATAANATATTATCTATTGTTATTGATATTGTGTTGGTGGAATAAGGGAGAATTATGT